AGGGGCTATTTTGTAGGACTCTATTTGAGTTAAGCTTAATCCGTGACATTGTTTTTAATATTTGGTGCCATATATATACTGTATAGTCATATCATACCATTTAAACTGTATATTTCTATTTATATTATTTGCATTATAATAGGGGAACCTCATATGGATAGACCCCTAATTCATCCATACATATATATATAAATTTATGCCTCACTGGTATGTATGCCCAGCACTGTGTGTATATATATGTGTGTGTATTAGATCACACTGAACAACACGTGTGACACATAGGCGCACACGTGTGCGACCAAACAATTTTAGGGCCACTGATCTCTCCCTCCCTCGTCATCCTCCTCCTCCCTGTTCTCTCCTTTTTTAATATCAATATATATATACTGTATTGTAGTATTTAGTATTACTTTTAGTATTATAAGCGTTAAAAAATTTGCTTTTAGTTTTGCTTCAAACATCAATACAATAGCCCCTCAGTATAAAAAAAAAATCATACGCTAATTCATGTGGCATACCTTAAACTTTATCACTGACTTATATCTATACGATTAATACATGCTATACTATAAAAAAAACTAAAGTCAAAGTGATATATCGTATATTCTACAGTATATTTAATACTGTATATAGTTATCAATAAAAATGAGTGTTGAATTAAATCAATAAAAAATTATTTTTAAAAAAAATATTCTGTATGTATGTGTGTGTGTGTCGTTCATCACATATATAGCTTAAAAATTGACAATTTTATTACTTATCTCCCAATATCTACTCTATATATGTGTGTATAATGTTAACAACATTTTATGTATTTGTGGCTTAAATTATGTTTGTTTCATAGATATGAATCTCTCTGACTATTGTTTAACTATGGGATTAGGGTTTAGTCGGTTGGTTGTGTGTGTGTGTGTGTGTGTGTCCGATGATAAAGTTATCATTAAATTTTTCTCATATTATATCACTATATATATACAGTTTATGTTATTATCAATCATATTAATAGTACAGTATCTGTATATATATGTGATATTAATATGATTACAATATTATACTTTATATATCGTAATTAATATTAATAATATTGCAAACCTATAAAAATCTATAATAGTTTTTTTTAAATAAAAAAAATATTGTATAATAAAAATTTATAATAGACCATCTATCAAATTTTTGGTTGGTTAACTTTTATAAAAAAATTTTAACCAAAAAAATAATAATAATATAAAATGATAAATTTAAAAATAATAAGTCAAATCAGATAAATAACATTTAATACATTTATGAGTAATAATAATAAATTTGAATAATATATATATTTAGATATTTGTATTTAGCTATAATAGTAGACAATAATTGTTTTTAAAAATACAAGAAAATAATTTATTATTTGTAAATATTATACTATTTTTTTCTATAATCTGATAAATCTAATGATTAAATAGTATAATAATGACTAATAATTTAAATACTAATAGTTTTCCTATAAAAATAGTTTTATTTGTATTTGTCAATATAATTGTCACATAAATTATAGTATTATTTTCACAATTATACAGCTAAGCAATAATATTAAATCTAATCATTATTTAGTAATAATTATTATAATATCGATTGCATTATATTTTCTATACATATGTAATATATTTATTAAGTTTATATATATATATATATATATATATGCAATAAATTAGACAAATACTGTATTATTTCAGGACATGATTTATCAGTCTCTCTCTCTCTCTCTCTCTCTCTCTCTCTCTCTCTCTCTCTCTCTCTCTCGCAATACAAACACAATATTTAAAATAAACATTCATATGGTTTGTTTGTATAAAAGTTTTTATTTTGGCGACAAAATAATATATTGATATATATAAAGAGTTCTCTCTCTCACTCACTCACTCACTCACTCACTCATTCACTCTACAGTATTATTGGATGCAATAGTTGACACTTTTCAAGTGATCAGTGAAAGTGTTGTGCCTTTTAGTGTAGATAATGTTTTTGGGAGAAAAGAAAACATTTTTGAAGACATATTCACCAGAAATTGAAACAAAAACAACAACAAAATCTCAACCATAAAAGTACTCTTCATTTTTGTTTGAAGTTTCTCTCTCTCTCTCTCTCTCTCTCTCTCTCTCTCTCTCTCTCTCTCTCTCTGTCGTTGTGTTGAAGAGCACCGGCAGCTCCTCTCAGCAAATACTATGTGTAACTTACGATACTATAACCCATACATATATTGTATATATATATATACTATATAAATATATATATATATATATATATAGCATACATCTCTCAAGTGCTCACACTTGTGTGTGTGTGTGTCTTCAAAGGCTATGATTTTCAGTAGAAAATTATGAAAAGCAAAGCAAAAGTAAATATATTGAGAGAGAGAGAGAGAGAGCTCTTGTTTTTTTCGGTGAAAACATTGAGAGATTGTGCGATACTTATCGTCTATCTCTATGTAGAGATACATATATTGTATATATATATATAT